GACTGGTATAAACAGGTTACAGAATATATTAGGAGTTCATGGCAGCTGAAAAGAAACCATGTTTAAGCATATGTATAGGAATATACTTGACAGAGTCCTCCAGTTTAGTGGTTAGAGCACTTGCCTCGCAAGCGAGAGGACCTGGGTTCGATTTCCGGCCAGGGTGAAATGTTGGGCAAGTTTTCTCACTCCACACGTCTCTGTTCACCTAGCGGTAAATAGGAACCTAGTTGTTAGTTGATTGGCGGATTGCTTTTCCGGGGATAATAATTCCTTCAAAAATAAATTAAAATCCATGACTGTTTGTGGGACGCTGCTGTGCGTAATTGGCTGCCACGTTTCGCCCACAAAAATACAGTCAGTTCACTTTACAGCAAATTCTGTGAAGAGCTTTGAGATGTCCCAAAGACGTGATAAGGTGCTACATCAAATGCAAGGATTATTATTATATTAAAGGGCAAACATTGACCAAGTAAGGCCAAATTTACATCTCCTAAGGTGAAAGGTGAATTATATAAATGCAAGTTTGCATTATATATTTTGAGAAGTTTAAAGGCAAAATAGTCTTTTTACAATGGTAATCAATTGTCTTACATACAATCATAGCAATCAATAAATCTACTTGCATAGATGTATAATACAATGACCCTTTTTTATCCATACAGTGAGGCACGCTCTTCTGCTTCCCTCCATCCCAGGCTTTTTCAATTCTCATGATCACTTGGGTGTTTGAAGCACTAACTCACACAATCCATCATTTCTTTCTGTCATCATCCCAGACATTGTTCAGATCCTCCGAGACGGTGCTTACAACACAAAGGTCACTTTGAAAGTTGACTAATGGTACAATAAAAACCACAAAACATTTACAGCAGTAGAATTTTAACAAGCAGCCCCCTTAAACTATCGCACCATTACACTGCTGGGTGTGTGTGTTTGATTTATCAGGGGCTTATAAAGGAACTGGAATACTATTCTCATTAACAAAGGGAAAATTTTCAATGAAGAGTAGTTTTCATAGTACACCATTTAAATTGAAAAACAGAGTTTACAAGTTGCTCAATATGGCTATTAAACTAAAATTCAAAATTCAAATTCTGGATAGTAGAAAGATTAAACAGTTAGAATGAACTTGCATCTTTATCGCACTTATCCCTCCGCTTAGTGGACTCTGGCCTCCTCCATGTCCCCTGCGCTGCCCTGGGCTCCACCATTGGCAGTCAGGCCTTCAGCCCTTCTGCCCCCACCCTTTGGAACTCCATCCCACAGTCCCTACTCCTCACCTCCCCCTCCCTTGCCTCCTTCAAAGCCTGTCACTTCGATGGTGCCTCTAGTCACCCTCCTAACCCCCACCCTCCCTACCCTCCACACCTCCTGATCCCAATCCCCAGCTCAGGTGCAAATTCTTGACTGTCCAGAACTTTGGGATGTCCTCCCGATGGGAAAGCCGCTATACAAATGTAATTTGTTCTTATTGTTATAAAGTTGAAACATCTCAAAGCTTTACAGTAACTAATCATACGTAATAGTGATTGGATTTGTAGATAGAGATGTTGGCCTGGCTCAGCTGGTAGCACTCTCACTCACCTCTGAGTCAGAAGGTTGGAGGTCCAAGTTCCACTTTGAGATGCTGAGCTCATACTTCGAGTTGACATTTCAGTGCCGCGGTGGGGAAACACTGCAATGTCAGAGGTATTGTCCTTCAGAATCTTAAAGATTCTATCGTACTACTATCTAAGAAAGGACTGTTGCTTCTCATGTCATGGCCAGGAATGTGCAAATTGGCTCCTTGGGTGCCTCCAAATACGCAATTACTATACTTTACAGTAAAATAATAATGCTTACATTTGGCATAGCACCCTTCACATATGGAGAATGTCCCAAAGTGCTTCAAAGGAATTACTGTGAAGTGGAGTGACTGTGTATTTGTGCGTGAATCCTGTAAAGTCTTTGAGATGGTTTCAATGATGTGATGAGGTGCTGTATCAAATCAATAAATATCAAATCGATTCTCGATAGTTGATCCATTATTGCCATCACGAAAAACAAACTACGTACTTCTAAAAAATAAAACTTGAGTGATTTTTTTCAGAAAGCATTTTGGTTTGAATCATGAGTCTAAGATTAATCAGTTTATCAATAAAGAAACTAATTATTTAATGGGGAGAAGCGAGATCTTCAATACTCTGAAATAGGGAAAAATCATTTCAGATGGTTGGTAAATCTGCAAGAAGACGTAAACAACAACAAATTATATTTGTATCGCGCCTTTCATGTCAGGAAGACCTCCCAAGGCACTAAACAGGCAGGGATCCGCACCCAAACTGGTGGTTGGATCAGGAGGGGTGGAGGGGCAGGGGAGGAGGGTGACCGAAGATTCATAAGAATGCAATAAAACACAGGATTATTACTGGAAGAGTTAATTGGGGAGGTTAGAAGAAACATTTTCGTGCACAGGTTTGTTGAAGCATTGACTGCTTGGTCACAAGAGGCTGAGAGCAACACATTTAAAAGAAACTGGATAACCATTTGATGAGAACCAATACAAAAAAAGGTGCGAGAAGGGAGTAGAGAATTGCGATTAGTGTGGTTAGCAGCAGTGGAGGAGCTGCTACCTGCATCGGTTACTTCTGTTCAGTAATTTGTATGATTGCATTGCTTCCTAGCTCTGTAACAAACAAAAGTAATAATAATCCTTGCATTCGATATAGCGCCTTATCATGTCGTTGAGACGTCTCAAAGAGTTTCAAAGAATATATTGGACAGTGGATTGACTTTATTTTGTGGGCCAAACGCAGCAGCCGATTGCACAGCCAAACAGCCGTGGATTGAGCGACCAAACTTTTTCCCCTGGAAAAAAAAACGCCAATCGACTAACAACCAGGTTCCTACTTACTGCTAGGTAAACAGAGGCATGTGGAGTCAGGAAACTTGCCGAAGGTTTTGGCCCGCACGGGAGTGGACCCCGAGTCCTTTCGCTTGCGAGGCAAGCACGCTAACTGCTAACACTACAGGACTCCACAAGTAATATTAACTTTTATTTCTTACTCACTACCACTATACAAAGGACTTGAAGTGCAAATTTTAATTTAAAAAGGATTATTTCAAGAAAAGATTCGGTCTTTGTTAATCATGTTTAACATTCATCTCATCGAATTAATTTAATATAATCTTTTCTCATCAAATGAAGAATATTTCTGAGATACCGAGAAACAGAATTCTCTTTTTCCAAGCCTCAGATTCCAGACTAGTGTCCCAGTATCTCTGAATTACATCCACGATTGAGAAGCCAGTTACCTTGAAGAACGAATACCAAGGGACTGACTTCACAGTTGAACATCTAGGTAGTTTTGAACAACATCCTGGAATATTCCTTTGAAGCATATTTAGCAAATGTATTTTTTGGTACATTTTAGAATCTTCCATTCTCTATATCTGGATTTCATTAAGAATGGTAATGGTGACAACCTACAGTCAGCAAGTACAGTTTTATTGATATTTGACATTCTTGGTAGTCTGGTGCCTGAGCCAGGCAGGTCTATAGTCCTTCAGGACACAGTTGTGGACCAGCCAGTCTATTACCCATTCAACAACTGCTAATCGTACAAGCAAAGCCCAAATGGGAAGAATGATCTTCTCTGGACGAACAACAGGAAGCTTGCCCAGGTCAGCAATACCAATTGCGCTGTTTTAGCTGATTAGACTTCAGCAGTATCTAATGCACATGCTAGATCCCCTATTCTTGGTCCTGCTAACCTGCACCAAAACACTACAGCTTTAGCATGTAATGAGATATCTATGATTATTCTTTAATTTTTTGTTGCAAAAGCAGAAATATTAAAAGGAATAATTATGAATCATCTTCACCTTCTCCAAACAAATTGATTTCCTGTGAACTCCTGACATATTTCATAAGATTGGTCTGGATGAAGAAGGCCCTTCGACCCATCCGATCTCATCCCTCCAGAACATCAATCCTACCTTCCACCCATCGCAGGATCAAATTGCTTTTTAAATGAGTCTAATGTCCTGGTTTCTACCACCTTTCCTGGCAACCTGTTCCAGTTATTGATTACCCGCTACGCAAAGAAAAACATCCTGGTATCTGTTCTGAAGTCGCCCTTTAAACTCTAAACCTATGTTCTTCTGTTCTACTGTCTTGTTACATCCTAAAGAAGTTTACTTTTTCAATTAAAATTAAAGGGTTTACTTTTTCAATTCTCATTTAAAATTATATATGAGGTTCCCTCTGAGTACTCTTCCCTCAAGACTGGCTTGTTCTAGTCGTTGCTCATAGCTCATTCCTCGAACAGTGGGAATCACCCTCTTAGCTCTCTTCTGTAGTGCCTCTAGGACAGTCCCCTTATGTTGAGGTGACCAGACTGTAGGTAGTATTAAAGGTGTTGTCTGAGCAGAGCATTGTACAGCCCTAGAATGATGTTTGGGGATCTAAAATAAACTGATTTAGCATTATAGCCCAGCATCGTGTTTGCCTTGTTAATTGCTGCCTTACATTATTTTAATACAGTGAAGATCTCTTTCAGCTTCCCCTTTGGAAAGTTCAATCCCATTCATGGAGTATTTGTGTTTCCTATTCTGGGAAACTATGATATAGTATCTTGCATTTATCAGTATTAAACTTCATTTGCCACTTATCAGCCCATGTGCCTAATAATAATAATTCTTGCATTTGACATCTTTGAGACGTCTCAAAGTGCTTCCTGTAAAGTGAATTGACTATATTTTATGGGCGAAACGCAGCAGCAATTGCCTACAGCAGTGTCCCACAAACAGTCGTGGATTGAGTAACCAATTTATTGTTCTTATTATATACCCTATCAAGCTCTCTTTGTAGGATGTTTGCTGCCTCCTCTGATTCATTTTTTCAGAGTATATTTCACAACATTCATTTGTAATTTTAAAGGCATCGGCACATTGTCACTAGTTACGTATTGAGGTTTCTTGCAAAAATGGTAGCAATTTAAGACTTGTTTACTTACTATTTGTAGGTTTCAGATCGAATGTATTCGAAAACGTGGGAGACACCTAGTTGAAATTGGTCAGCAATAGGTGTAACCCAAGGATTGTTCTCTGCTTTGAAGACTTGTTTTGGACCAGTTAGATCTAAGTTACCTGCAAAAAAAGTGGAAAATATGAATGATTTTATCAACCTCAATTCATATTGCATGGTTAACAAACAAAATTAACAACTGTAAGGAGAATAGAAATCCATTAGAGATTTTCTTGCAAGTCACAATTCTTAGCTTTCCCATTGAAATGAATAAACTATCAAAAGCAGTTGAACAGGTTTGGATATTAGAAACAGCCGAAGAATAATGGTTTTATATTAATTTTCAATGCTCTTCTCTCTCTCTAACTGCATCATAGTATGTGTTAGAATGGTTTAGAAAGCCATGTAGTCAAATGTTATCACTTACTGCACTTTCAGAAAGAATTTAATGATTCAGAAACCCAAGCAGATATTTTACAATTTTGAATGGAATAAATTAAAGGATGAATACCAACTTGTGGAGAGCAGAGGCACAGTGAAGATTAGAAGTTTGGCAGCTAAGGAACAATTAGACTTTCAATTTCTGGCACAATTTACGAATGTTTTTCAAGAAAGCACAATATTGTGTGCACTAAAAACATGAGGAGGGGCAGGGAATTCTACTGATTATTGTGCTTGGATCTCTCCACAAACCAGATGCAAGTTTTTTCCAGCAAATGTAACTCAGCCAAAAAAAGAACAGAACATCCAATTTTTGCTAGTTGTTCATTTTCGCTGTACAATGAAAATGTACAGTCCTACTTCCCACGCACTCAAACATTTGTCTTTATAAGCTCCCAAAGAAAAAAAACACAGGGTCTAATTTGTGATATTTCTTAAAAGGGTTATCCTTTAACATTAACCTTTAACATTATCCTTAATAGACAAATCTATATTCCGGTACCCAGGAGTACGTTATGCCAATTTCAGAATTTTGCTTGATGTAATCTACCTATGGAATGGAGTTCGGCCAGGTCAATGGAAATTCTACAGTATTCCTTCATGAGGTACCCTGCCATGAAATACCATTAAGTTTATCTGAAATAGATCAATTTTGATCTCCCTAACTTTGTAATAACACAATGGGCCTTGACAAAGAAAACCTTCCAAATATAATAGAAAAAATAAATTTACATGTTAGCCTACACCGCTTTTAATTGTTCTAATAGAATAGAATGCACATGAGTTTCCAACAATAATGGAAACATTTTGAACAGTGGTTACAGCATCAAGATAATCATTAGCTCGGAGAAAGGGTCTCCAACCAGTCGATCACGATGAACTTCTTGGAGCATTAAGAAGCCAAACCCCTGCACCAGTCCAGGCAAGCCCGCACCAAATCAATATGATGCTTCCAGGAGCCTCTGAGCTGCAATAACCATGGCCGGCCCAGCCATAAATGAAGAAAAATTCAATTAACAAAAATTAATTTGATTGGGCGACCAAAAGTTTTGGTTACCACTGGCTTAGTGCATTAAATTTCTTTGGTTAGTCAAGCGTCTGACGCATGTGAAAACCCATCACCACGCTGAACTGAACTCTGGAACTGCCTTACTCACTCCCTTCGCCTCGCTCCTTCCCTTCCTATTTTCAGGTCTCTGCTGAAGACCTTTCTTTTCGACCGTACCTTTGGTCACCTTCCTCCCCCTCCCTCGGTCCCGGGATCTGTTGCTGTGAAGCGCTCTGAGACATCGTCCGGCATGGAGGGCGCTATATAAATCCAAGTTGTTGTTGTTGTTGTTGAACGGTATTCAAACCAAACGGAGTTCCACATATGTAGGCTGCCTACACATGGAGGTTTCCCTTTGTCTGTATTCTTTCCCTGGTAGGACACACCTTGCTTGTCTAATTCCAAAGAGTTTAGGTGCAGATTGGCAAGAGCCAAGGGTTGAGGACCCCAGAGTGTCCATTAGAGGTATTGCTGGAGTCTAACCAGTGAAAACCACATCTACTAAGAATACAGTCCAGCAAACTGCTTGCTGTTTGCCCAGCTAGGACCACCCCTACTTTTAGTACTTTGGCTTGCAGGGTCAACAGGAGATGAATGGAAAGAATCCCTCTCCCAGTCTGCGTCTCCAAGATCTGCTGATGAGCCAGGCTGCCTGGTTTCATTATAAATAATGCTGGGGAGAACTGGTGCTCAACAGGACTGCCGAGATCCCTCACAGAGAGCTGAAATGATTCCGACATTCCATTGTATAAGTTCCAAGCAGACCATCCCTTTCCTCTCCCAAAAGAGAATGGTCACTAATAAGTGAACAAAAATAAGACTATTTTGATATAACCAAATGTTAGTCAACCCGACAGGTTACAAAGTGATACGGTTACATACAGTCATGGAGCATGGAAACGTGCCTTTCAGCCCAACTAGTCTGTGTCGAGATTATAAAAAGGGACCGATCAGGAAATAAAGTAAGCACGGTGAATAACTGGATGCTAGGTTGCGGCCTAGTTTGTGGCCACATACCTTTTGCTAATTGTGGCTAAAGAGGTACAATATGGTTGACATTAGCTTAAACTATACTATTTCACTTGATGGCTCACTTGGTAAAACCACTGTTCTAGTGCAAAACTAGAAGATCCCAGAGTTGATCCTCAGCTAGGTGGCAGTGAAGCAAATTAGTGGTGGGGCAGGGCAGGGGTGAAAGACAGAAGAGATGCTACAAGTTTAAAATTTAAGCAAAGATTGGATTAGGTTTTTCGCAATATTCGAACACTCACTGACTAGCCTTACACACTGTTATATTACACTTCCATTGATCTATTGACACCATTATACCGCACTGTCAGTGTCCAATTGCCATCATTATACTACATCTTGAGTGATCTATTGCTACTTTTTTTTACCTGCACCTCCAGTGATCTATTAACACCACTGTATCCCACTTCCAGTGAACTATTGCCACCATTTCACTGCACCTTATGATCTATTGCCACCTTTACACTGTACGTCATGATGTATCGCCCCCGTTATACTGCTCCTCCAGTAATCTACTGCCACTGTTATACTGCACTGCCGGTGATCTATTCCCACTGTTATACTGCATCTCAAATGATTATTATTATTATTATTATTATCTACTGCCACCTCTAGTGACCCAGTATTACCATTATACCTTTAGAGGCAACGTCATGTGAAAACTATCTTCAAGTGATGCCCAAATAAGCTAGCCCAACTTACCTCTCTGCAAGACCATCTCCAATAGATGGTCAGGATTTGGTTTGATATGCCAAAAGCAGGCACACCACATAGCTTGTATTGATAAAAACAACTTGGGTGGCCTCAGGCTTTGTTTTCTAGTAATTGATAAAGAGTATGGACAAAATCAGTGGAAAATAGAGCAGTACAGGAGTCTGTTAACTTGCATTTCATGCATTCGCTTGCTCCAAAGCCTAGAGGTCGGTAACCTACAGCCCACAGTATTGGTGGAAAACAGCAACATAGCTGCACATTCACTACATCTACACAAATATCCGAACAGCTAGAATAACAGACACACAAGATGACCCTGAGCGGTTTGCCTTGCCTTGCTGTCAGCTTCATTAATCACCAATTACTAATCCAGTTGAAAAACGGGAGACTCGGATTCCGTTAACAGTCTATTTATAAAAAGGTGAGAATCATCTGACATGACATCTCACTTCAACAGCGCAGATGGTGTCTCACTGTAGAACATGTCCAATATCAGCTGCCCAATGTACATAAAAGTTCAAAGTTCTATGCAATATTTTCGTTGAGAAGAGTGGCTCAGATAAACCAAGGCATATTAAAGTTATGCAGATGTGTTTGCATTGGAGATTTTTTTTAAGAAAGACCCACAAGTTACACAAAGAGGGAAATAAATTACTATTTGCATTATGCTTATGAGATTGTTTTTTTGGAAAAAAAACAATATTTAATATCCTTTGGTTGACAGAATATTTTACTTGAAACAAAGGTGGCCAAAGAGCCACCTGTGGCCAAAGAGCCAAATATGCCAACTGTGCACATTTGTGACAAATATATCGATTTAATAAGTCTGATCAGAGTAATTTCATGGAAAATTATATTTCAAACACCTCCCAAGTACCGTCGCAGCAGTAATTGGCACCCAATATTGGAAAGCAAAGCAATAAAAAGTGCTACTGCCTACCACAGGCTAATAAGGTAAAGAATGGTCTACATTAAAAACATATTTGGTTTGGAAAGACCAGCAGCATCTGACTTATTGAGATATAAAGAAACCATGAAAGCCTGAAACAACTGAAAATGTAGAAATGCAAATTTCAACCTCTGAAAGAGAAAGACTGGTTATCATTTTTGACCCGAAATGAATCGAGCTGCAGAAGCCGTCTAAAAGATTAAGGACAGCAAGACGGTCCAGACAAAGGAAACGGACATCAGCAAGAAAAACATTTGTAACTGCAAATTAGAGAGTTTGTGGGTCATTAACATAGCTATAAAAGTTCATCTCATCTTCTTCACAAAATGTCAATGTTGTCTTGGTCTGGAATTACTTGCCTTCCCCGATCTTATGAAGGGGTTTCTGCAAGTCCAAATCGATTCAGATGAAGGGTTAAACCGAAAAAACTAACCTTTCTTCTGGAGGCCCACAGTAGGTGCTGAAAATACACAGATCTGTTTTTAACCTGATAATGCCGAAATGTGTCACAGTGCAATATGTAGACAGTACCTTGTGTCTTGTAAGAACACGATCGCCTCTTACAATACTACATTTAAGTCAGACTACAAGCTGTGGCATTCTTTAGCCATTGCTGGGCTTTTGTCCAATCAATAAAACTGCTAGTACTTCATTTAACTCCTCTTTGATTTTCGCTCTTGGAATGTTCCATTATTCAATAACGCATGCAGGAAACGTTTCACCTTCCTGTCAGACAGAAGCAATAACCCTAGCTTCGGTACGCTCCAGTGCTTTCAGGCAAAGGGATTCACACCCTTATCTGTGACTCCAAGCAGGTTTAGCATTCTAACTTGGATCAAACAGCAGGGAGCAGGATTAAGCAATGTAGACAAAGCAAACTAACAAGATAGAAACACACTCATTCTAAAGCCATCCTGGTTAGATCTAAAACACAAGTATGT